GGAAAAAGTCCTGTCAGATTTCGAGATTTACCTCCGAGCACGCTAGAATCACGGAGTGCATTATCCGACAGTCTCCTCGGAGTATTAGTCACATCGCGCACGTCTGAAGACCCGGGACATCAAGGCACGAACCGCCTTCTAATTCCGGTTGCGTCACCGTTAATTACAATCTTCAAAGTGCGGACACAACGAAACAATGCAATCACCATCCGCACCATTTACTCCGCGGAGTCAAAGGCCTTCATGGATGAAACGACGGCGAAATCACGGCGGATTGTTGTTGAACGGCTGATACCGTCTTTTTCTCTTGACTCGGTTAAATTGCTCTTGGACTATCTCTCGTCGACAAATCCCGAGACAAACTCATCGATCTCGGGTGAACATTTTAATACTCAATCCTTTTGATCATTTAATTTGCCGACAGAAATTTCAGTCTCGTTTAGTTTACTGAGAACCTCAAAGTTCATACTTTCTCGTTAGAACCATGTCCAAGTCTTCCAAGTTCTCGGATCGTTTCAACTGAACGGACGCTTAAAAAATCTTAGATATGATCTATGATAAGATATTCCATTTTATACCAGTTAGACCTGAAAATCGTCAAATCACTAATTATTTAAAAAAGAAGACGGAAATGGAAACGATTAATCCGTAGTCTTGATTTTTGTGTTATGTAACTCAAGACCTATTAGAGATTTGAGTTCGTTGCATCATTGCATTCATCAAAAATAGAATCTTGGGCATGCAAAACTTAATATTAAAATGTTAATTATGTTAATTTATGTGAAACCTTATTCCTAGAGTCAGGGGGGAGAACCTCGAGGAGGAAGCGAGACTCGATTGAACGTTCAAAAATTGATGTTTCTGAGGTTTAACCGAGTCTCGATCCAATGTTTATCTAAACCCTAGCCATACAAAAACGGGTACGACCGTATACTTTAGGTTAAAATATGACTGATTTCATTAACACCCTCATATCTTAAATTATCGGATTGTACTTCAAATTCTCACGTTCGTGTCTGAGGTTTAAACGAGGTATATACGAGAAATATTTTGATGTTAAACTTCTTATGACACGATAGTAAGTGTAAGTTCGTAAACGTTTTCGTCAGTGTTAATGCATTATTCTCTGAGTTAATTATTGACATTTTTCGTCTCTCTCTGCTCGGATGAATTTCTCCTGGACCATCTCTCGTCGACGAACGACACGAAATAAAAAATTGCCTGGTCTGCTTTGTGTAATTACAGACGGAAGAATAACTACCGTGGTGCAATCGCGTTGTTGAATTAGCGAACGTTTGCCACGGTATTGGCATTTTCTCGCCCCCGTAATGCTCGCTTTGTCGTCGTGTGGGCTTATCCTGTCGACATGGCCGCTGCAAGAAACGACTACTCCATTATGCACAATTATCATGTGTAATAGTGCTCGCTCTAGGAATTCGTTAATCGGAATGAGGATTACTGTAATACGTGCCGAGCGCTACTGTGACGTAAACCAATAACAGGGTCCACTCGTTGGTCTTGCACAAAGGTACCGAGAGTTTCAAAGTCGTTACCGGAACAATATGGTGCAGCTGGTCTGCCATTATGAATGCTTTACCGTGATCGGTGTGTGCCTACGTTGACTGCACTTCTAATTTTCCTGCCCGTACTTGTCGTACGTACTTTTAAGAAACAAAAATATCGTGGCAACATTTTTGTCACTCACCCACGGTATACTAAATTTTCAGCACTTTATATATATATTTTTATAAACATATGCTATAAATTTAATACATTAGTGTATCAATTTTCCTACACAATTTTTTCAAAATTATAACACGGTGTTATAAAGTTATAAATTTATTTATTTATAATGAATGTGTACTGATTCACTTTTAGGACATGAAATTTAACATTTTACCTCCAAGCTTATGTACTAAAAGTGTATTTAGGTATTTTTAGCAGGGTAGAATTAGTGACGACTCTGACGGAACAGCTGGGTACCTTGGGTGCCCAAGTGGTCGTTAAAAATGCTTAACTAACGTTGCCTCATGTTAGGTGATGTAATAGTTGACTGTCCTGTTCATTTTTTAAGATGCAATAACGAGCTAGTTTTGTTAATTTACATGCGATTACCAAACGACCCTTCACTTAGAGGACTTTTACTAAGCTGACAATGAGCCAAGGTTCTACTGGTACGAGGAATCGGTTTAAGCACGCGGTTTTCAAGCGGTCTTTTCGAGCATTTACTGGAAACCGAGTCGAGGGGTTTGCATACTTGCCAGGTTGATGGTTGGTACTTAGCCGAACATGTATGTACACCTGAAATATGTTTAGCCAACTTCGAGGCATTCCGCGATGTACATGAAATTGGTCGGCACGATTTTACCATTCTTCCTGGGACACGTGTCATGGCATTCGATTCGCTTTTAAAAAATATATCCATAAAGCTTAAAACACCGCAGAGGATATTAACTGTTCTTTCACGAGCTGTATTAAATAAAAATGAATATTAACTGCATACAAATACAAATGCATATTACAATGGAATTTTCTATGAATTATAGCGGTTAAACATCTTGAAGTCTACCTTGTACTCGAGTTTGTGCAACCAAGACATTTCTTGCAAGGAGATCTTACGACGATTTTTTACTCGTTTTGAAACAAGTGCTTAAATCCCAAGGTGTTTACGCCGTTCTCGGCACTCTCCGGTAACTACTTACAATGTGTATATTATAATTACGTTTACTGCTCTTAATGCGCACGCTGAAGGAATGCGAACGTGCATCGTAACGAGATGGGTTGCCTGTCACAACTCCCTAGTTTGTTCTCCAGCCTTGAGGATTAGCGAATTCTCTTCTGCCCGTGCTCAAAAATAATTTGTAAGGCATGGTTATTCAAATTGGCACCTGAAAGAAACGCTCACCCCTCAATTCCACAAGGTTCCACGCCACGTAAACAGTATTTGACCATAACGCGAATAACTCCGCGATTTTTCAAATTAACATCTTCAGATTTCTCTACGTCATTGTCATTGGTCCATTTATTAGTTCCCATTTGTCAAAAGCGTTAAATCGATTCCATCGGAATATGAACACACATCGGCTTGTACCGTCGGTTCACAGTCAACGGCGTTACCGCCACCGATGAAGCACGGCGCATTTTTTCTTGGATGGAGCCTTCTTCTAACAATAAGGTACACGTGCCTTCTTCCGGCAGCTTCCATACCTCCCGGTCAGTCCCACATAGTAGGCCTCCACCTTCGCGACCACTTCCACAAATACCTCCACACCGAACTAGGCCCAGCTCCGAAAAAGTGAGTGGTCCTCGAACCTGGAGGGTCCCGGGTAGGCCGCGCAGCGTCCGCCGATCGCCGGGTGATTCAGTTTCGCAAGAACCTGACCAAGTTCCTCCTTGGTCGTTGACCCTCCCGTTTTGTCCCCCGTGCAGCGTAATACGAATCCATCCCGACGACAACACGGCGAGCTCGGTCCGGGTGAATGAATTCGGCTTCTCTTTTTATCCTTTCCCCTTTGCGGACGACCCTCCGCACTCTCTCATCCTTAACGGGAGGAACGGTCCCCCGCGAATTCTAACCTCTTCCGCGGATAGCGATCGTACATTACGAAATCCGTTCGCGATTCCTTCCGCAGCCGCGAATTCCCGGTTCCTCGTTATCTCGATCCGATTTGTTCGGATTCAGCTGATCGGCGACGACGCGTCTCCCTCGATGGTGCCGTTCTTTCCTCGGTTTCTTCGCTCGTTCGACCTGAAGCGAAGAATAATTAATCGCGTAAATTTAATCGTTTACTCGGATCGAAGTCAGGAATTACGTATATTCTTTCCGGGGTGCTGAAATTGATAACCAAGACGTTCTATGATCAAAAGGATCGATAGACTCCAAGAGCTCCAGGAATAAAGTGTATCCACAAAGAGGCGAATTTTGCATCGGCAGGGTAAATCCAAAGATAATCATTGTTTCAGAAAATATGGGAAAGGATGAGTTTGGTACTTATACGGTGGGTAATTGTCAATTTGAATATGAAAAGTAGAAGTATACGTATCAGTGATTGGATTATCCGTTAAGAATCACATACTTTATGCTTCTCTTTTCTCTCTGGGTTGTTTCTTTGAGGGAAAAGTGCTAGACAAACGCATACATTTGATCGAGTTTACGCTTATGTATGTTTAAATAGTAGCGTTTACATATTTAGCCTTGACGCCTCTTGTAAAAATAATATGGGCTTTATACCTCGGGTACGTTATTCGCTAAAAAGTGATGATCCATGAGCCACCTCGTTGAAATATCTGCCCGAAAATACCAGCCATTGTTAAGTTATGCTGTTTTCATGCCAGACCGAGTACATGCACACTAAATTGCTCATCCTGAGAAGTCCGAATATGGAATCCCTGGATCCTTCCTTCCACGTTCCTTTCCTGAACTACCCTTGCCCTTGGACGTAAGGTCTTCCCTGGACTCCTGGGATTGACCGGGATAGACCGGGATGCGAGCCTTCGGGGACCAGCGGATGGGCGTTTTCGACTTAGACAAGACAAGACAAGAGGTTTCGCTCGCGGGCTCGCCGGACTCGAGGAGATCCCCGTTCGGATGGCCGACGACGACGCGATGCTTCTGCTGCGGGGCGGTGAGCAATTAGCGACACAGCGGCGAGATCAGAGGCCGGGGGCGGGGTGGGGGGCGGCCTAATTACACACGGTACCGACCGACTTCAAAGGAGCCGCCAGTTCCTCTCCTCCGAGCCATCCCCTCCGAATGGCCAACCGACAACAACACTCTTCTTCCTTCCTCGTACCAAGCGTCGTCGGCGGACCACGACCCGGACCCCGACCCAAACGATCCACCGGCACCTCCGAATTCGACCATTCGACCATTCCCGAAATTCGCGGAGTCGTCGCGACTCGACGATTACCGACCATCCCGGGAGCCTGGATCCATCCTTAGACCATATGTACCTAGACCTCGCGTTGGACCTCTCGCTTCCAAATTTTCAGTAAGCAGAATGGCTTTAACTGCATGGGTGAGTTTTCGGCTCACGTGGTACATTTTGTTTATGCCCTTCTACTGCAAGGTGGTCGACATGTATATATGGACTAAATGGCTCCGAGTGCCGTCGGCTCATGTGACATTCGAATTTACTCCTTTCGTTGAAATGCGAGGTCTAAATATCTATGGTGTAAGGAGCGATCTCCGTTGATTCCTTTTTGCTCCACTAGCTCTCATCTAACTACACCCTCGGACGGCTCTTATGCAACCTCCAGTCGCACATTGACTCAATTATTACGTACAATGAGTAACTTTGTGACAAAGTTTATGTACTTTTTAGCACCCCATGTTTCAAACCGGTGTCGTAATTAGAAAGTTTATTATGTGACATTTAAAGTTATTGTATGTTTTTAACGGTTTAGTTGATTGAGTCTGCATTCGGGGCATTGCCACTATACGTTGGTTTGGTTCTGCTTGTTTGCTGTTAAAAATGTTCAGAAAATTCAAACGCTTTTACTACATAAGTTTGCCGTAAAATTATAAATTTGATTCTTTGAAGGTGAATTGGTACACATTTATTATAAACCTCTAAAGAAATTTATAATTTCATAACATTGCTTTATAATATTCTCATGAGATTGTGTGGGAAAATTAATACATTTGTGTACTAAAATTATGTCATATTTGAATGAAATACAAAATGAATGTACCGCGATGAATAGAACTTCCAACGAGAATAATACAAAAATTACGATTTTTTTTAAGTTTTTTAATATTTTGCCATGTACTAAGCGCTTTCAAGTACTGAATCACACCTCCTTGACTGAGAACATGTTCTCCATCAAAATAGTGTATTCCCTGATTGTGCATTATTATCGTAATGGTTAAAGAAACGGTAATCAATCTGCAGCTGTTCCATCGTAAGAGGAGAAAACGATTGATGAAAACTACTCAACGTATTGAACATACCGCCACGACGCCACAAAGGCTAATCACTTTATTAATTATCCTTGGCAGACTTCACGGTAACGTTAATTGGCCAAACAATCCAGCGTTATTACTTCCTCAATTTTCATTTGTTTAGATAAGACGAATTTGGCAGCTGGTCGTAGTCCAAAGTCGCGAACAAGTTGGGAACGCAAGTGCGAGACTCGCAAACATGCAACACACGGAACGACTTCACATCCACGAACCCTTTAGTACGTGTTCGTTTGTAGACAGAATATAACCGCGATTATATTTCCTTTGCTTTCTATTTCGAAAAAAAAAAAAACGTGTAGTTAATTGCACGTAAATCACCCACCTCTCGTCATATCCCTAACGCAAAGTTCAACAACATTAAACTTTAACCCGTTTCTGAACAATCATGAAAGTTCCAACATTGATATATGATGCACCTCGGGAAACCAACAATAGAGCTGACCAGCAATGTAGAATATGTAATGACACCAATAATTATCCGATCGTTAAAAGGATTTGATGTTAAAAATAGGCAAGAGTCTCGTTTTTAATGTTTTTAGATCCGATGTGACTGAGTTTGCTCTGTATTGTTATTCCCTATCGCGTCGTTAGAACTACGAAATTAAGTTTTATTATCTGTAACTGCTGTTGCGAGGTGCACAAAAAGTGTAGATGTAACTGAACAAAGTTCTAGAAATGTAATCATGAAAACAATGGGGGGAGAAGAATTCATTTCTTTCTCTATATTCTACGGAACGACGTGCGAAAACTGTATAAAGTGCACAAAATACAAGAAAGGACTCATGAGCGCGATAAGGAGGATGATTCATTCTATGCGCAATAACATTATTTCCCTTATCCGCAAATCTAAATAGATCCAGCATTCTAATTACCTTTTCTACACCTTTGCTGTTTTCTATTCCATTTATGCATGTTTTTAATACAATTTTATACATGCAACAATTACTCCACTGCAGGGAAGTTGATACTTTTTACAGGGTACGGGAAGAATTCAAATAAAAGTACATTAACGGATTAATGTCAAAATAACGCAATTACAAAATGTACCCAAGAGTTTACTTGATCGATACCGAAAAGCTTAAGTTGCCAGGTTTAGAAACCTATAAAAAAAAAAACTGGTAATTGTAAACTCTAAATGTATCAACTAGCCCTGGTCTTCCCTACTTAATATACATGTACCAATTAATTACTGATAATGACTGTTCACATTGTCCGCTTCGGACTATAGCGCCCTGGTCGTTATCCACTAACTACGAGCAGCCTTATTTGTAAACGATTTGCAATACTCAGCAGTTACAGAGTATTCACGATCATTTTCAAGCTGCGAGGTAATTGAAATTGGCCTGCCGTTTCGCGGTTATTACTTCGTCAATTTCCGTGTGTGTGGATAAGACGAATTTGGCAGGTGATTGCCGCGGTGCAACGTCGGGGAGCCAAGAATGCACACACGCACGGTCCATTATGGCCACCTCTTGTGAGGAAACGCATTTCACCCCTGATAACCGTTTATTTCGACAGAAAATAATAACACCGTAACCTGAAAAAACCATATTATTAATTGTAGACGCAATCAGCGTACCCCGTTCGATTAATCATTCCGGTGACTTGGTCAGGCGTGAATTATCGATCTCACAAATTGGTAATACTGTTAGGAACTTGAAGAGCTTCTCCGAATGATTGAACGTCTCGGGTGATAAGAAATAAATTAAAATAAACATTCCTCTAGCGAAACGCGGTAATTAATTAGAACTCTTGGTAATTACACTTTTCGCTATCCGTTGTTGAAATAATTCTCAAATGTTCGGTTTGTTCTCAAATGTCATAGTTGGAAGTTGGTGTCAACACCTGCTATCGGTGCGCGGCATAATGCCGGTAAAGAATGCGGAGTATACGACGGTATGAGATAACCACGATCATTTGTAGGGTATTATACAAGGTAATGCTAATTGGCCGACCGCAGGAGGTCTGCGGTTACTGCTTGGCCAGTTTTCACGAGTATGGATAGGACGAACTCGCTAAACGAGCGCCGCTTTAGGGAGAGAGAGAAAGAGAGACAGAGAGGTGAGAACGCGGCGGGACGATGTTCACGCACGCACGGTTTGACATAACGAACACGTGCGTAGAAACGAACCTTTATTCCAATTATTCACTTTCCCGCAGGGGGAGGCGGTGCAAAAGTTCTTTGAGAAATAAGTTTTCACGCCATTAATAAACTTGGCGTACGTTGTGCGAAAAATTTACTTTACAGGCGAGATTAATTACTTGCAGCAGTCTAAATGTTTCTTGTTAAAGAAATTAATTGCCTCCAACAGAATTGATCCTGTAAGAATCATCATTGAAACTCAAACGATGGCGAATAAGTATCAAGTGTAAATGATTTTGTGCAATTTTTAATCAACGATAAAATTTCATGAGCACCACGTTCTTCCTTAGGACCTCCATAACCACGTGTTGACGTTTCAAATGATTCGGTGCACCCAGTTTGGAGAAAAGTTTTATCAATATTGAGTTATATATAGAATGACCATTTCATATCATCTTATCGGAAAATACGGAATACGCGGTAGCCGCGCCGTAACGACGATCCTCGGGCCACGAGGCAACGCTAATTGGTCGACCGCAGGAGGTCCTCAGCCACGGCTCGTCCAGCGTCCACGAGGGCGGATAACAGAAATCCGAGGAACGAGGAATCGGGCGGCGCTTGAGAGAGAGAGGCGTCCGGAATAGCGAACACGTGCGCGGGCACGCGTCGCGGCGCGGCCGAAACCGGGCCGGACCGGCCGCGTCCGTGGCCGCGACTGCCGCGGCCGCCGCGAGTCATCAGTCAAGTCTTTGAGGCCGGCCTCGAGGCACGGTCCGCAGAAAAAGGCCTTTTACCGATCTGGCGTGGCGGTGAGATCAAACGGCACGGTCCACCGTACGCCGAACCGAGCGACCGTCGTCGAGCGGCCGACCGACGGCGCGAACCGAAAGGCCGCCCCGAGGGGAAGCGAGAACGCACCTAAACAAATACGCGTGCCCTCGCTAACCGACCGCAAATTTGTTGAGGTCCGCCCGCCGACCCGGGTCCGGCTTTCTCGGGCCGGATCGGGAATCGAAGGGATCTAGGAATCCCGAAAGGGACGACCGAGATCGATCGCCGGAAAGCTTATTTTAAAGGCCGATGTACCTCGCGTGAAGGGAGCCGGAGGCGGAACGGGGACGACTGGGCGGTCGTGTTGCGGAATCTCTTATGTTGCACCCTATATTCGGAGGTTTAATTGATTGGCTCTTGCAGGTACGCGAGGTATCCGCGGAGGCCTGGAAGATTCGTAACTGGCATGAAATGGCTGTGGAAAGGTGATGGTCGATCGTTGTTGTGGAATGGAACGGTTAAGAGGAACCAAGGGATTGGAAGAAACGAGTTTAAATGCTTTCGAGAATAGAATTGATGGATTTTTGGGTATTTGGCGGAGGTTAGAAGACTGGCAGGAAGGATCAAAATCGCGATTAATTGTGGAAAATGGCGGGCTTGTCAGCTGTAAAACATAATACGCATTAGAAGTTTCACCTGAAAAAGCGCGCGAACTTATGGCTCGATCTAATACACTTATTACGCGGTTATAAAAAATATGTACAAGATTTGATAGAATTAGGATATCTTTTTGAACGGTGCAGGGCATTCGGCGCCGCGACGCTCGGTCGGCCGGTCGGGCCGCGGTCGCCGTTGTCGCGGCTTCCGCAAAGTGAGCCGAGCCGAGCCGCGGCCCGCGTGCCGGCTCGAGCACGCGTGAAGAATCCTCGGGGAAACGGATTCTTGAAATAAGCCCCCGCAAAATAATTACCGGCTCGACGCTGCTGCGCAGTCTTGCCGCGTTCCGCGTAACTCCCGCGCGACTGCCGCGCGACTAGCGACTCTCGTCGACTGGGCGTGTAAACGCTTAGGCATTTCTTTGCCGGCGTCTCCTCTCGTCTTTTCAGCGTCGCCGTCGCGACGTTAAGCCCCAGAGGCCCGACCGCAGCGCGCGATAACTCGTTGCAGGGATTAGGGCTCTTGCTTATGTAGACGTTCCG